ACCTACCCTAGAAAGGGACAGAAACACACAGGTCCCGGGAAACACTGCAAAGAAACTAGCAGAAGGGTTATAACACAAACAACCATCTCATTAGATACACACATATATATATTTATATATACATATATTAGACATGGATCGTACTCACACACCATGGTTCCCACATTGGAGCTCTGTCTGGAGAAGCCTCTAGACCGGACAGATGTTACACCCCCTGAGGAAAAAGAGTGGATACCTAAGTATTACCCTCGCCGCCACCTACTGGTGTAACTATGTAACCTTCACTGAAGTGGTTGATCAATTTTAGGCCTTTGTTAATGTTCCCAGTTTTTAATGTTGACATCATTGCATAGCCTACTTTGCATATGCTTCAACATTATTTTGGCCATTTTGTTTTATTAGTAGGGTACAACGGGGCTAAAGGCACCCCTTAAGAAAAAATGTTACGTTGTATTGAACATTAATGGAGCAACAAATTTTGTGTTTGTTGTTTATTTTGTTTAAAAATCTTATAAATGTATAAGGTGGCAAGAGGGGCCTTTTTAAATAATGTAAGTTAATACTTGTTCAAAACAATCACTTTAGCAAAGTTTGTACTATTTTCTGCTTATTTTGAAAAAACAAACTGTGTTCAATAAATATACTGTCATTAAAATATGTTAATATAAAAAAATATATTTTAAAATACAGAAACAAAATCGTTTTAATAAGTAAAGATTCTGAAAGTATTGAAAGAGATCCAATAATAATTGAATATATATTTACAGTAGTAGCAACAAATTATTTTATTATATGATATGATTAATATCATGTTTTTAAAGATGATGGTTTCATTCTAAACATGGTAATTATCTCTAATATGGACACCCAACATAATATATGATATTTACCATCTGAATGTCAACAAATGAAAAAGTCAGCCATCTATTAATTATCATGTATTTAATTACTGTGCACCTTTAGCCCCAACAGCAGGGGTCATGTTAATTACTGTGCGCCTTTAGCCCCAACAGTAGGGGCGCTTTTTACCCTAAATACCATACTTTTACATATTCTGTCGTTATTTAAAAACTGTTGCTTTACTTATCTTAAACAAAACTGAAAATCATAAAGACCTTTGTCTCAATATACAGTATATGCATTAATTTTAGCGATTCTAATTTGCTACTTAAATGTACAACATAAAAAAAAAAATTAAATACGTAAAATATTAGATCAAGTAAGCACAGAATCAACTTTGCGCTGCTGGGCGCGATCGCGTCAAGGATCAGACAAATATACACGTGTATCTTGAAAACTGGATGTTTTGGAAAGTGCTACGCCACGTTTTTGTGCCATCTAGTGATTACTGTGCACCTTTAGCCCCAACAGCAGGGGTGCTTTTTACCCTAAATACCATACTTTTACATATTCTTTCGTTATTTAAAAACTGTTGCTTTACTTATCTTAAACAAAACTGAAAATCATAAAGACCTTTGTCTCAATATACAGTATATGCATTAATTTTAGCGATTCTAATTTGCTACTTAAATGTACAACATAAAAAAAAAAATTAAATACATAAAATATTAGATCAAGTAAGCACAGAATCAACTTTGCACTGCTGCGCGCGATCGCGTCAAGGATCAGACAAATATACAGGTGCATCTTGAAAAGCGGATGTTTTGGAAAGTGCTAAGCTACGTTTTTGTGCCATCTAGTGGTTTAGATGAAAATAATATAAAAGGCGCCTTTAGCCCCATTGTACCCTATATTTTTATTGATCTATTTATCTTTTTTAGAATTTGAAAGATAAGATATGGTTTGAAAACCAAAAAAGTAGTGCTTGAAAAGTAATTGAAAGTCCTGGAATTTCATTGTACAGTATCTGTACGAACCCTGTTATTATAACAAGCCTGTCAATATTTTCATTTAAAACTTTAAATAAAATGCAATACATAACTTCAGATAGATAATTACCACAGTAAACTACAGTATAACTCTCATCTGAGAGCGAGATTTGGAAGTTTGTGTCAATTAAAAGTACTGAAAGATCCTTTCACATGTTGTTCTACAGCACAGAATGTATATTTACTGGCTGATGGGGAAACTATCTGCCAGTAATTTATAATACGTGCCGTTATTTTGTCAAGCCAACTTTAACATGTGATATCGTTCACGAGTATGATATTCATTTACATCTGCAGGTGAAATCTGCTGAAGCTCCAGACTATAAGGTTTGTTCATTTCAGGAATCAGTTTATTGATGTTAGAGATGAGCAACAGTTGATTTAATCGTCACATTTAATTGTCATATTAGGATGATTTAACGTCCTCGTGGAGACATGCTGATCTCGTGGCCTTGAGAGAGAAGAAAGCAGAAGATGTGGACTGCAAACCAGTACAAACACACAATATTTTTCTTTTGCAGTGATTTTTAGTGTGCTGTGATTTGAACTCAGTGTCTGCTCTCTAAAATTGATTTATTTATTTAGTTAGTTACTTATTATTTTATTTTATGTTTTTACAGAAGCAGCCACAGAAATTCAAGCCTTCTGTGCCACACCGACCATCAAAGGTAATATATTCTGTGTTTGCATGTTTATTGGAAATATAATGTGTGCTTTAGATTTAAAGCCTGGATTTTGAATTCATAAACCAACCGGAAGCGGTTCTTAAGACATTCAGGACTAAAATTAATCAAAGCTTTTGGCTATTTTTATTTATTTTTTGAATGTTTTAATCCACATCTTTTAACCTTTGCTCCAGGGTTTTGATCAACTAAAACTAATATATATATATATATATATATATATATACAAAAACAGACAAAACATTACTAAATATATATACTGTATAACTATATATAATTGTATACAACATTATTATATATAATAATGTTATATACAAAAACAGACAAAACATTACTAAAACTTACTTACTAAAATGAAAATGAAAACAGAAGATATAAAAATAAATAATATGAATAAAGACTATAAAAGTATAACTGCTCTGCTGATTTCTTTAGGATACGTTTGCAGTTGGTCTGAAATCAGTGAATGGTCCTCCATTGATGGAATCAAAGGTATTTTCACTGGCCTTTTGCAGATATTTTAACCGTATATACAGGAGTGAAGAGAGACCAGAAAATATATTCAACTGATCAACGGAAAGAATATAAAGTTACAAGATTTGGGCTGTTTTGACATATCATTATCATATTCATTGATCAAACCTATTTGAATTGATCTTATTATTTGAAACCATGTCTCTACTGTTTGCAGTCCTTCCCCAAAGATCCCTTTCTGGAAGGAGAACTGGATCTTGGCGCTTCAGTCCATGACAGTCATCAGGTGAATCAGCTTTTTCTGACAGTGATCTTGGACTTTATACTGACACTGAACTTCA